CGATACAGCAAAGTGTCTGCGCGCGATCTGCCAAGTCTTGCTGTGGTGAGGGCTGCTCACCCCCCAGCTTAGTAACTTGCATCCTCGGCGCTGCAAGTCTTTGCTGCTCTTGACTTTTTTAAAATTCGCTGGTCATTGGACAGCGAGGCAAGATTTGTGTGTTTTTAGTGTATGTGTTGTTACGTTTTTAGGCACTTTGCCAGCGGCACGGGACTTCCGAAGTAACTGCGATGCAGTGTATAAACAGTTTTTGGTAGCTAACGTAGAGCAGGTTCTTCCGGTTTTCGTAAGTGGCGATTCTTGAAGCTTCTCGTAGTTCATGAATACACGCAGAACTCTTTCTCAAAAGTTAATTTGTACCTAAATTTGTTATTTGTTTTATAAGAATAATTTTTATCTAGTGAATGTGGGAAGGAGTAGTGTCCAGAATATATGTTTACATTGGAAATTCAGTATTTTCTTGTCTGTATTTTTCTTTCTCCTTTCCTCTTTTCTGTTTGCCTTGTTTTCATGTCTTTATCTTAGCAAATAGTATTCACAAGCATTTAAAAATATTTTAATATTAAATATTATTTTAGCCTTATATCCGGTAGCAATGGAATATAGTATGTGGACTAGCTCTAAAAGTGGTGCTGCTGAGGACCTGCTTGCAAATGTACAGTCATTACGGAATCAGCTGAGGAGAACTGAAAAAAACCTACAAACTGTAGAGGAAGAGCTTTCCAGGTATGAGTGTTTGGGAATGTCTCTTATAGTGTGAATCTGTCTTATTCAGTGTAATGGATTATTGAAATAGCTTCTTTTGTGCTTTTCTTCTGAATGCTCTTTATAAGCAATTAAAAATAACAAAGAAAAAATGGTGTAGCAACTTTTTACCCTCCATCCTAGCACTAATACAAGTGAACACTGTGGCCACTGCTTCGATGAGGCTGTAGACTTTACTCTGGAGGACCTTGTTCAGCCTAATTGCAACCATCAGGGCGTTTCCAACTCTGAGAAGAATGCTGGTAAAACATCTTGCCAGGATTTTCAAAGAAAATCTGAAGTAAATACTGCACTTCATTGCTTATTTTTACGGCTTTGGTTTTCTAGTCTATGCATTTATGGGTATTTTTTGCTTCTATGGCTTGGAGTTGATACACTCTAGTATTGGGCAATTTTATCAACTAAGCACTCTTGATCGTAACGTGGTTTAAATACATTTGTTCTGCAGAGTTTCCAGTGATGTATATATTGCTTGCATTATGCACATGTAAGTGCCTGTGTGTTTATGTGTGTATACGTGTATGTATAGAACAAATTTTTTTTATGTCTAGTCTTACTTGGTACCCACAACTTCTGATAAAACTGTGGAAGGAAATGAATGCCTTAAGGAGAAGCTGGATGCCCTCTATGAGCAAAATGCATCCTTGACTTCTCAGAACCGCTACCTAAAGAACAGAGTGGAAACAGTGAACTTTGAATTGATGCAGTCAAAAACAAGAGTATGTATTTTTAATGTATTCATCAAAAAGAAAAACAAACGCCAAAGGCACAAAAGAAGTCCCAGTGACCATGACTTTTGAGCCTGCAGTTCCAAGCAGAACATCCTATTTCTTTGTTTTGTCTTAATCTATCTAAATTTAGTATTAAAAAATTAAAATTTAGTATATGTTTTCATAACATTCGTCTTTAATCTTGGAACAGAATAGTTTGCTATCTGTTTCTGCATAAGCAAGACTATATTGGTTATGAATTCTTTCTGTTTGTGTTCCAAAGTTTAGTCTAAAGCCAGTAAGTTGCAGAATGAAGAATACATTATGTAAGAAAATAAGTCAGCAATGTATTTAGTACTGTATGTTCACAGGGCTGAGCTATGTTAAGATTAATGGGAATAATAATGGCACAATAGTAATTTGTCTAGGAAATGAACAATGTTGACCTTTTCAGGTTGGATTGATGTTGCTACTTTGAGAAGTGAAGGTGAGTTAGAAGGAAATATTGATTCTCATAAAACATTACTGATTTGAATATACACTTGTAAGTATGGGTTGGTTTTCTTTTAGGACAACTACATTCTTGAATGTGGTTTATGTGTGGCATTAATAAAACATAACTATGCTTTGTGCTTTTTGTTTGAGAACTGTTATCTCCAAGGCAATACAAATAAGTAGATAAAATGTTTGACTGTCGGGCATGGTAAGAACACACAGTGGAATATAAACGTCTGGTAAAAAGCAAGAGATGGGATCAACATAGAAAGAAATCACTCTGCTAGACAGCATATAACACTGGAAGGGAGCTAGGGGATTGAAAGGATGTTAAATGAGCAGAAAATCAGAGGTCAGTTTGAGTAGATGAACAAGCATATTTTTACAGTGAGGTTAAGAGCACTGTTTCATTCATCAGGCAGATTATTCTTATGTGTCTCACCTGAAGGTATATATGCAAGTGCTAATGAAACCCCAAATATGTTTGCATTTCAGATTTCTTACCTTGAATCGACTTTAGAAACACATTTAGTCAGCATTCCGAAGTTGAAAGAACAGATTGTAAACCTGGAAGCAGAAGTTTCAGCTCAAGATAACATTCTGAGGTAATAAGTGTACTTTTAAATCAACATTTTTATTGTGATCTGCTTGCTTGTCCAATCTCTTTTTTGGGGTAACAAGACTGGTACACTGTGGGTCATTATAATCTGGGACTTGAAGATCTGAAAGATGTTTTGTTTTGTACTGAATGTACTTCAAGAAATGAGAGAAAATAATAAAGGCTCTTAAAATAAACCAGTTTATAATGTACGCTAAACATGAATGTGCTCTTATAACTGACTAGAGTGATTGTATGCTGCATGACTGCATATCTTCTACGGTAAACAAGCATGTATATTTGCAAACATGACTGTGCAGCATGTGATGTAAAGGATTCCTTCTTCATAAATATATTGATCAAGGTGAATGGCCAAATAAAGCTAATATAAACAATGTCCAGAGGCTATCAGTTTATCTTACAACTTCATGATATAGGATATTCTATTAATATCTCAGTAGTCTGTCTTCACACGAGAAATAAACCCACTTATATTTAATTTACATTTTAGTATCATTTCCCACGTGTGTATCCTGACCAGTCATACCTATTCCGAGAAAAATGGCAATTTCTGTGTTCAGGTCTCATGACAGAAAGTCAGCCGTCTGTGTTCTTGGCAGTCGTGACACTGGATGCCTGTTGATGAGGTGTGGACACCACTCCAGACTGCAGACGTACTCCTGGGGATTCTGGAGACTATGGGTGTTCCAAGCCTAGCTTTGAGAGTTGTGATGTGTTTGACTAGCACTTCTCAACCATGTGCAGAAAACAGCAACAAAAATCTAGTTTATTTGCAAAAAAAGTTCCTATTTTTTAATAATACTTTGCTTATTTGCTAGAGATGCAGAAGATAAACTAGATCAAAGCCAGAAAACAGGAATGGAAAGAGAAAACTTGTTGCAAAGATACAAAAAGGACTACAAAAATCTGAAAATGGAGTTAATTGAACAAAGCAAGCAAGGAAAGAGGTAGCTACATAGTTGTTAATAAATGAACACAGAATGATTGTGTATAGCATTTATTTCCATTGGCAGAGGTTTACTTTGTGGAATGAATTGTTTTTCTGTGTTAAGGATGTGGGTTTTTTTTTTTCAAGTGGGAAATTCTAAGTGAAGATACTTTTTAAATAGTCACTTTTTAAAATCTGAAATTTGCTGATAGTTGCAGGCTGTTACCATATGCTAGTAACCAGTTTATCACCTGTTTTTTCCCTTCAGAAGAGATGTACTGCAGTGGAGAGCTGAAATGTGTACAGAATGTATTTTTCCTGAATTACTTTTGACTTCGTCTTGCAAGAAGCTACAATGTACGCTCAGTACTCTGTATTCAGCAGTATTGAGTGCTGTGTTTTTGTTGTTAGTGGGAGGAAAGTGATAGGAGCACAGCTTCCTCAAGAGAACGTTTTTAGTGTTATCCTTCATCTTACCTGTCTATACGTTACTGTTGAAAAGGGTGCTGTAATTCTGTCCCAGTCCTCATTTCTTTCTTCTTGCCTCCTTTTGCTTAGCGGTTGTGTGCCTTCTGGGAGGGCCAGGTAGTTTCTTTTGACTGTTGGAGGCTATCATATATAATCCTATCACCTCAAAAATGTAATTTTAAAGAAATGAAAGGAATAATAAAAAGATTCCTGTCTGCCCAATTCATTTAACTGCATTGCCTAGGGCAAAAAATTGACTGAATTAATGACTTCGGAAAACATTTCTTGAGGCTTTTGAATGCAAAATCCTTGTTTGGCATGTCCATCTACCCATGAAATTACCTCCAACCTTCCCATAGTTAGACACATGGAAATACTGTGGGGCTTGTGCTACTGGTCAAAGAATGTGTTGATTTATGTTCAGTGTTCGTGGCTGTACTTACTTACTAGTTTCAAATCTAAATATTCTGGTACTTTGGGAAAAGTGAGCTTCTGCCAGGTGTTAAAGGCAACATACGGTATTATGGTTAGTATTAACAATTATTACAGTTTGCTTTTCATCAGTCATTGCAACTACTTATTCTTTGGCCAAACTGAAGCACTTCAGGCTAATGCTATTTTGTTTGTTATTCTGAAATCCTTTATCCCCTTCTCTGAATGCTTTTGCCATCTCCAGATGGGCAGTGGTCTTCTGACTGAGAAACACTAATGTGAGGGCAGGCTGTACTTAGGTGAGGCAGATGCCTCATCCCCACAGTTCCCTTAGTGGAAGAAGGGGGCCGGTTAGCGTGGTGCTGGTAACACCAAGCTCAGGGGTTCGATTCCCGTTTGGTCCCCACGTGTTGCCTGATCTAGTCGAGAGGTGGCGTCCCTGCCCATGATAGGGAGGTTGGACTAAATGATCGCTGAGGTCCCGTCCCGCCCAGGCCATTCTATGATTCTAATGTTACTGAGCAGTGGTAATTCTTGCGTGCCTGTGTCGGGTGTCCTGAGCGGACTGCACACTCGACCTGTCCCACGGTTGCTATTCCAACTTCTTCCCTAGGGAGAGCAGCGCAGTGTTTAGCAAAACACCAGGCAGGCTGGGTCGCTGCTTTGAAGTTACTCACCTGGTATCATCCCAGTCTCAGTTTCCTTTATTATTATTGATGCATCTCTCCAGTATCCTCCGAATAATTTATCCTTTGATGAGTTCCTGTCAGTCCCACTATAATTCTGTCACAAGAGCTCCCTTCGGTATCAAAGTCTTCTCTAGCTCCCCTTAAGCAGTTTGAATTTTAAGGAGCACTGCTATCTTCTGCTTCCTTATCGTGCATGCTGTCCTGGCCCTTAAAACAGGCTTTTACTGCCAGGGATGATTTTACTGGCAGGATGACTTGAATCAAACCCCTTCTAAAGGGATATCAAACTGTTTGGTTTTATGTTCTTAGTCTTACTGGAATTTTGTTTATGTTAATATGCAAAAATGATATTTAAAATTAATTTCTTCTTTGTGAAACTTTTTCTACCTCGGACTTGAAAAGCTGGAAGAAGAAAGGAAGTTACCTGGAGCAATTAACTGAGTAGTTGTTTTTAGTAACTGGAGGGGATAATTACATGATGACTGAAATCAGTGATTTTTAAAACCAGTATGCTTCTTTGCAGAGCAGAACAGCAAAGAAATGAAGCTTTGTGGAAAGTCGAGGAGCTGACAAGAGCTTTCAAAAAGTATAAAGAGAAAATAACTGAAAAATTGGAGAAGGTAAGAGTTTTTCACTTGTTTTTGCCATGCTGTTAGGATTCTGCTTCTTCCAGTAAGCTAGGCAGCATACAGTAAGGGATTCACCGGTGAGTCAATTGTTTCCTCTTGTTGGTGGCAAAGTCCTAAGAGAGGTGCGGCAGGGTAAGCAACAGTTTGTGGTGATAACTTGAGCTACTCAGTTTTAAACACTCTGGACAGTCTGCGTCTTTTAGATATCCTGATAATGCTGCTGCTTCTTCTGTTTCTTGCTTGCCAGCTGGGAATTTCACATTTTAGGAGTATATCATCCTTTTAAGAGAATTCTTTTGCCTCTGACTCCGTCTGTAGAATCTGTTCAGTGAAACAGAAACTAGAGAAGAGCTGAGAATTAAGTTGATCTAGTTGTCAAAATTTTTAATGCTTCCTGCCTTGTGGGAGGAGAAAATACAGGCTTGAGACAGTTAGCTCTTACAGTGAATTTTTATATGATTAGGTTTCTTTCCTTGTGGAAAGAGATTGCCAACCACAAATATACCCTAAAATATTAAACCGAAATAGCATTACTTTTTTTTCCCAAATGACAGAAAAAACACAAACTTTTCCCCTCTCGTTTTCCTCATAACAGTGAACAATAGAATTATCTTAAGGCTTACAGAAAGAAAAAAAAAAGAAATGGAACAGTGTTGATAGCATTCTTTTTTTAAAAGCCTGTTGGTCATGGAAGCTTAGATTATCGTTGTACAGTAACAAAAAAATTGCTTTTTAAGGTTAAAGCTGAAGAAGTAGCCTTGGGAAAGCGTTTAATCAATTGTGAGAAAGAAAAAGAGAAGTTGAACGAAACGTGTGTAAGCTACAGAAAACATGTAGACATCCTAGAAGAACAATTAAGGTAATGCAAAGATTTTTAAAAATCTCTGTACAAGTTTTTGTGGAAAAAATTGGATGTTATAGCTATCACTGTGAATGTGCTGCTCAATTTATATAGTTCAAACTAAAGCAAACACCTCGGATCAGTGTCAGCAGTATGACAGGCAAACCATAATACTGATTAGGTAAAAATTGTTAGCGAACATTTACAGGTTTCTAATTTATTTTCTGAAACTAGTCCTTAAAAGTTTTAATCATGCAAGTTGCCACATGTTCACAGTTAGAAGCAACACGCTGCCAAGCGTTCTGAGAGCATAAATTCTCTTGCTCTCACACTGTTTCTGTGGGAGGTGTGGGTACTCTGGCTTTATGTGTATCTCTTCTACTGCCTGCAGTCTGCTGGTGTGCGAGCCCACAGAGGAAGCGCTCTGTGAGCTCACTTACAGCACCAGGTGCGAGCTGCAACTTCTTGCACACCACAGTGTCAGTCCGTAGCTAGAAGGAAGGATGCTTTTGACGTCCAGTGGGCAGGCTTCACAGTTAAACCCTCCTTGATCTGTTTCCTACCAGTGACTGTCCTGATAGTGCTTAAAACTGTATTAAGTTGCTTAAGAATGAGAAGTGGTCTATTTTTTCATTTTATTTGCTGATAGCAGTTTGCATTTGGTCCTTAGGAACAGTAAAACCGTCGTAAAGCAGTGAAAACTTTTCTGTCCTTTGTGTAGAGCTAATCCTTGATTTTGCGAGGAAGGAGATGAGTAAAACAGTATAGTTACGGTGTGTTCTCCTAGTACTTTTAATAATAAAGATCATCTATGTTGAGCTATGTCTTTTAAATGGATATACTTTTTTAGGCCATTAAAGGAAGAGAATCGTAGCACAAAAGAGGAAATAAAGACTCTAGAGGCAAAGAACGCTGAAATGGTATCAATACTGACTCAGTCTGATCAGAAGATCGTTGAGCTTGAGAGTAAACTTAGTGAAAAAGAAATGATGCTTAATGAGAAGAGTGCTCTAATAAGTGAAAATGCAGAGCTGAAAGCACTTACTGCACAGCAACATAACCACTTGAAATTATGTCACCAAGACATTAAAGACTTAAGGGAAGAGCTCAACATACTAGAAACCATTATTTCCCAGTTGTGTCGGAGTACATCTGAAGAGGTACAGTAACTGGTATATCCTTAAAAATTGTATCATGTGTCTTAAACCCTCGTAACTGACATTGCATGAAAATCCTGTGATGTTCTTGAGAAATAATCTGCGTAAAATATCTTCAGTTTTCAAGATGCATGGATGATGAGTTTCTTAATTTAAATATTTTACTTTTGTCTTCCCATTCAAGGGCAAGGAATAGGTGCTTTGGAATTGATTAATCAACAAGCATTTAAAATTACACTTCTGTTCCTCAGTTCAATGTATTGATGCTTCAGATACGTGTATATTCTCTAAAACATGATGATGTCATGTCAAAATGTATGATGGAGAGGTTTTTCTCGGTGGAACAGTGTGACATTTCCCATGTGTCAGCCTCAGCAGTGGAGACATTGGAGCAGGAGAGATGTTCATATAACTCTTTTTTTTGTTTGTTTGGTTGGTTTTTTTGTCTGGGAAAGAGAAGGCTCACCTTCCTTGACTGCAAATGAACTTTAGTTTTACCGGCATGAACCCTGGCTTATATGCCTGAAGCTTATACTGGTGAAGCTTTATCACTAAACTGCCCATGATTGGGAGAGTCATATAAGAAACCCAAAGTTGTGAACTGACTGGGGTTACTGGTGGAACTGTTTGGGAAGTCAGGAAGGGCTAGAGAGATATGCAAGGTCAGGAGTACAGACTACATCAGATATCTTTACTTTTGAAGTAGAAGTGTGAGTAATGAAAGCAAAATCAAAAGCATACTTTCTCTGTGATTTTTGGAATTACCAAAGTGATCTATGCTGAAGAGAATATAATTTATATAAAGATGTTGTTATGCTCTGTTGTGACTGTAGGCATTTATTTGGAAGAGCCTTAAAAATTGTTTTAGGGCCTTTTTTGGAAAACAGATTTACATTTCCTGGGGAAAAAAGAAAGATTATTCTAGTAATTTAATGAAATGTTCAGAAGCCCTCTAACTTGAGAAAAAAATTGTATTAAATGCAGTCAAAATCTGAAAGAAAGCGTAATATGAGAAGTTGAAAACCTGGAATTTCTGTCTCCATTTATTTTTCACAGCAAAAATGTTCATGCTGCAGTACTTGTACAAAGATATCTAAAGGAATGGTCTCAGTTTGAGAGAGCCTTAATGCCTATAATTTCTGGTAATGAGAGACAAACCTGCAGCGCTCTGCAAGCTCTTACTTAGGATAATAATTTTAATTACCAAGTTATCCAAACTTTTAGCATCCTGGCATACGTGTCTAAAAATTTATATGCTACTGTAAAATGTGAATTAATCATGCTGTGAAGCAATTGAAAGTTGATTTTGTATTGATCTTGGGTTTCCCTTAACTTTTAGTTTAAATGGCACCACTTGAAACACCAGCTATCCAGTCCCTCAACAGAAGAAGCTCACTCTGTATCTTGCTGTGAATCAAATAGACCTTTGACTGCTGACCTAAGGTATAACTTTGTGGTTACTGAATCACAGCAAGAATAGGCAGATAATAAGGTGATATTAGAACTAGCATGTAGGAGGAATGTTAAATAATTGTCTCCTCCTTTATAATAGCACTAGACTGGCAATGACAGCAGAAATTCAAGAGCCTCATGCAAACTTAACTATCTGTACTGGAGCTGAGCATCTTTCTACTGATAATGAAGGACAAGAAAATAGCAGGTTATGTGGCCTGGAAACAGAGCCTGTCAAATTGATCAGAAGTCAAGGAGGTAAGCTCACCGAAATAGATGTGCAGTTCTGTCTCATTAACCCACAGAATAGGCATTTTTGGTGGGGTTTAAGTTGGTTTTATGGTGTTTTTTAAATATATGTCTAAGCTAAGAAGTATGATTTGGTTGAACAGGCTGCATTTTGCCACCTTGGAAATTTGGAAATTGTCATGTTCTCCAGGCACAGTCTTCTCATTCCTTTTGCTTGTTAAGCAATATCCAAACTATTAGTTGTGTCAGAATAGAACCATCTATTTTTCCGTTATGCAGGTCATGCTTAGGTCTTTGTGTTTTCTTTGATTCTTTTCTCTGTATCCTCCTGTTGTGGACTTCCTGCAATTGCTTCTGCAGTTTCTCTTAGGACTGATTCCCAAAATTACTTCAGGACACCTATATAATGTTGCTGTCTCTTCAATTTTTGTTTGTTTGTCAGGGTATTTTTTTGTTTTCTTGTTTGGAGGTGGTGTTTGTTTCCATGAGTCATAGCTTTCAGTTACACTAAGGAAAAAAATAACCTTGTTTCTGAATATGGTGTTAGTTCAATATGCTGTAATTATATTTCTTCTCTCTTTGGTTTGTATGATTATTTGCTTAAGTGCTGGTCTGTATGTTCTTTTATGAATTATTATTAAATCTATTTTTTCTACTTTGAGAGAGGAGAAAATGTCAACAGTTGGAACTTATCAGCAAACAATTTGAAAAGGAGAGGCAAATATTCCAGAAAGAGATAAAAGAGTTACGTTCTAAACTGACAAAAGCAGATGATGAGAATTCTTCTTTGAAGACCAGCATGGCTCAGAGAGCCAGTCAGTTTCAAATCATACAGGAAGACCTACTGAGGAAAACTAGTAGCTTAGAGAGAGAAGTAAGTTTTTTAGCAGCACTTAAAAAAAAAAAAGTCACTTTTTGTTTAGTTCAGTAAAGACAGTAGTTATGGAGAAGCTGCAGTTGCCATATTAATTTGAAAATCTGGCTTAGTTAAGAAAAAATTATTTAAGAAAAATTAGAAATAAACTTTACTACTACTACTTTGATTTGTTATGTGGAAAATATGCAGCCTTGTTGCCTTGGTATGGTTGAATTAATGTGTAATCTTAAGAAACAGATGTCAAAGGAACCATTGTATTTTTCCTCATTAAATGTTAGTACAGTTGCCAAAGATTATCATTACCAAAGAGTCACAAAAAAGAAAGAAATTAAGCTTCAGTTAGCTCTCTCTAGTTGAGTAAGTTAAAATTCTTTACATTCTGGAGCTAATGTGTTTATAGAATTCCAGCATAATGGGATTTGCAGTATATCCTAATAATGATCATCAGTGTTTCATATTTGTAATAGCTAATTCACTCATTCACTCACTGATAATTATCGTGAGTTGGATAAAATTGAGGTAAATTGTCCTGAATTCTTCTCTGTAGGTAGTAAAGTTTAATAGACCATACAAAAAGAATCAAACAAATAAATAATGAACAATGCTAGGAAATAGTGGTAACTGAAATGGAATTGGTGGTAAGAAAGTATATCTGCACACTTTGAATAAACCTGAAATGGTTGTTTTCATACTGTGTTGTGCCATATTTAATTTCAGATAACAAAGAAATCTTCTCAACTTACTACACTTGAGAAACAGTTGAAAGAAAAGACTGTTGCTTATTCCACTGCTGCAGCAAGAAACGCTGAGTTGGAACAGGAACTCATGGTAAAATGTTCTCAGTGAGAAACTACATTTATGTAAAAAGTCATAAGTGGAGATCATTAGAACAGTATTATTCTGGATATTCAAAATGAATAGACTTTCAGATCTGCTAAACAATATATGCAGTTTTTAGACAATACAGTCTTTAAAAAATGAATCTTGCTTCAAATAAACCATCCCTTTTTTCCTACTTTTGAACATGGTAAGTTACCGACAGGTACATTTTTCCTTGTGGTGATATGTGCAAAGAAAATCTGGTCCTATTGAACTGAGTTGTAGCATTGCCATTTGTTTCCATGAAATACAGATAGACCTGTGAATAAAAAAGACTTCTTAATGGTAATAATTAAGATGGTGATCTAACAATTGGAGCACTGTAGTTTCCAGTCTGGGTATTGTTATACAAACTTCTTCCATTTTGGGAAAGATTCTGAGGTTGCTACAAAAGGAAACTATGTGGTCCCTTTCAAATAGAAACCTGTATTTTAAAAATTCCATCTATTCATGTGGACATGGAATTTTTTTGTCAGGAGATCCTTGCTCCAGTTGCTATAATCTGTGCCCACAGTCCACCTTGGCGGACACCTTGTCTCGCTAGTGGCTGCATTTAGTGACATTCTGTGCCTGTGTTATAGGTGTGATGTTCTTTGAGCTAAGACATTCTGTGTATAATTTCAGTGTTTTTCATGTTACTCGTCTATGAAATCTAGCAACTTGATCATCAGATAAAGCACTATTTAATATCACAGCTAAATATTTTTATTAAGTCCTTTTCATTGCTGCTGTTTCCCAGGAAAAAAACAGGTGTATTTATGAGTTGGAAACAACTGTGAGCAAGGAACATGAGAAAATAACTTTGTTTTTGGAAAAAGAAAAGTTGCTTCACCTTGAACAGCACAAAGAGATGGAGAAACAGATTGAACTAGTAAGACCTTCATTGTGTGCTACTGTGTTCGAGTGATATACATACATTTCTTTGGTTTTTTAGTACTTCTGAGGTGGATTAAAAAGTTACATCTTCTCCCTACATTTCGTGATTTAGTTCGTTTTCCATCTACCACTACACAATCTCATGATGTCCCTCTGAGATATTCGCACCCTCTTTTCTGCTCAGCTGAAGAGAACTAGGGACTTAGGACGAATACTATTGTTCTTTGATCCCAAACCCCCCAAACGTATTGCACTTTTGCCTGTTGGGCTTAAATCATGACAGCTTCTAACAATATTCTCTCATTTGCTGAACCTCTGCCAGCCTGAGCCTTATGAGCATGTGTTCAGAAAGAACTATCAGTAGGTGTTCCAGTCTTTAGAGAAGAATTCTGTTGCTTAATTTGATTAAAAATATAACCATGGCTATTTCTAGCTGTTCGAGAAGTTTGTCACCTTTTACTAAAGAATGTATTCATGTCTTGCTGTCTTGACTGATGACAGTTACGCTCTGCCTGCCCTCATTCTTTTGATTAATAGCATATTACTCTAAAATATTAAGCATTTGGTTTTTCTTCTTGTGTTAAAGACTGTGCAATACTGCTGATGGCAGAAATGTATTTACTTTTCATTCTTAAACGTGATAGGTGAATAGAATTTGAATGATATATTTAGATGCACAAATTCTTGGAAAAAGCTTATCAAAATTGTGAATTATTTATGAACAGCTTCAGACACAGCTGGAGAAGAAAGAACAACAAGTCATTGAACAAGAGAAAATAATATCTATTTTACAACAAGATGTTTTACATAAACAGCATCACATTGAATCATTGGATGGGCTGCTGATAGAAAGCAGAGAGGTACGGTTGGCCCTTGACTTTCTTTAAATGTAGATCAAAGATGTGACAAATAATGATGAAAAGTGTATCCATAAACACATGGAAAAATTAGAGAAAATAAAAGCTACTTATGCTTTTGATTTTTAATTTGTTTGTGTAATTGCCTGAATCTAGTGTAGTCCCTAGCTACTGCTACTATATATTGCACAAACTTTACAAACTTTATTGACTTTTCATTATTTTCTCTCTCACTGTTCTGTTTATGCCTCTGCTTTGTCCCTTGGGCTTCTTGCTCTACTCAAAGGAAAGAGATCTCAATAAAGAACAATCTCATCTTTTCTGCACTAGGTAGAAAATCAAGAATGTTCTATTATGGTGATGTTTTATTCCTTTCAATAATTACTGCTGCTGCAGAATATGAAGGGAAGCCTATCAGGAACAAAATTCACTTGAGAGTATGATGCACACAAATACAGTATACAAACAATTGTGTTTTAAATACATTGATCTGATTTTCTTTCCTGATTCTTAGTATGAGTTTTTATTAGTTAAACTACTGTTACTATGTTTAAATTTTGTTCTCTTGAGTGAAAATATGTGTACAAACAGGAAATGGAAAGTCAAAATGTCAAGAAAGATCAAGGATTGAAGATGCTGAAAAGCCAGTTAACAGAAGAAACAATCAAAGTTAGTATGCTCTTTGTAACTTTCAAGTAATAGTTTTGAAGTTTGCAGTAGTGGTATATTTTCTTTTATCCTCTACAGGAAAACTATAGTAAGGCTGCTTTATAGAAATTTGTCTAATGTAAATATTTCAGAAGTCATCAAACAGAAGGGGGTTTTTTTTGTTTGTTTTATTAAAGGTATGATGAAACCTGCTGTAAGAGATTATGCAATGCATGATTGCTTTATAAAATTACTTAAAAAATTAATAGAAAAAGTGTAAAATAGATTCACGGTGTTGAGATTCTTGCAAGTTTTTCCTTTCCCTTTAGGTAGAACTCAGGCAGTGTCTCAGCGCAGAAGGGCAAAAAAAAAAAAGCTATTTAGTAGCTTTTTGAGAGGAATTGTTATTTTTGAAAAAGACTTGTCACAACTTGCAATGATCATTTCAAATTTATTTATACAATTCTTTATGTTATAAACCATGGTGGATTAATGATTTGGTATTGGGCACATGTTTGCTTTTAAGTTCTAGCTACAGAAAAATACTGGAGTATCTTCTTATAACTGATAGTCTCATCTGATTTAAATGCAGTCTAAAGTATTGTAAATTAATTTCACAAAGAGTTTTAATTGCTTAATATTATCTCAAAGTTTATTGTAATCTTCTATGCCTATTTTAATACTCTAGATAAAAATGTAGCTTTTCACTCAAAGATCGTTTTTAACATTTGTTTTAGATTAGTTATAAAAACCATGCCATCCAACTTTAAGTAATCTGTTACATTCAAATAGGTGAGACAACTTGAGTCAGCACTAGAGGCGTGCAAGGAACAAGTTGCAATGTATCTGAGTGAGTCACAAGAAAATAAGGAGATGTTTGAAAATCTACTCAGAAAAAGGTCTGAAGAGGTAACAGCTTGTTTTAATAATTCTGTGTTGCAGAGAATGCTTGTTATGAATGATTTAATCTAAAAGCTTGTCTGTGAGACAAAACATTCGCAGCAGGAACTATGAACAAGAAGGAAGCAGGGAAAAGATTGTACACTTTGTTAGGCCAGTGGGGGAAATCACAATTAAGAAACACTGGACAAACTTAGGGAAAAGAAGTACGAAGGTAAATGTATTGTTGAAAGAAGTAACAAAATCAGAATTAAGTGAAAGAAGGCCTTATCTTGGGGGAAAAAATTGAGAGAGCACTACTGCAATATAGACTTAGGTTGATTTGTGTTTCAAGTATCCTAATGGGGAAGAAGTCCTGGGCCTAAGAAAAAAACCCTGAGTTTTATCACGCTTTCCACTACTACATGAAAGCAAGAAAGAATTAAGTTTAAATATTATTTGTATGAATTTTTATTTATAGGGTTGCCTAACGGCATGAACTCATTATCATAGCAGGCTGTTCATGTCAGTGCTGCACGACCTGTGGAGGGACAGGCTTTAGGCATCCAGAGGTGCCTAGACCTTGCACAGGAGTAGGTGAATGAAAATCTGTGGTTTGTGTTATGCGTAACCCTGTGATTTTTGCTGCTGCTTTCTAAGCCCAAAATCTGTTGGTTTTATACAGCATATGAAGAGACTGGATGCTGTGTGAAGCGCAAGGGTAGCGAGTGAAGCTTTGTGGTTGTGACCAGTGTTTTCATAAGTAAATGACAGAGTCACTACTTCCACTTTGGGGTGGGCAATGCCAGAATTCTTGGCATTCATCACTGAGAAATCAGACCATTCAACATGTTAGGCACTCAGAATTTCTGTTTCTTATTGAATTGATTATTGTCATAGAGGCAGGAAGAAATAAAGAGGAGGACTGAGAACAAAATCTCAAGGGGAAAAACAAGGACTTTCTGAGAAATAGAATGAAAGGAAAAAAGTAGTTTGGTAGTTTAGAAATGAAAAATCCTTGTTATGTGTTTTTATTATATTTACCAGTTCAGATATATTTAGAAAACAAGAATTAAAAAAAAAAATATCTGGGGCTGACAAGTTACTTCTTCTTTCACTTTATTAAGCACAACTCAGTGATGAATTACGAGATGTATTATGTAATGTTAAAATCATAATGAAACTAAATTCAGGGCCAGAAGTTCTATTGAATTGCAGGGGTGATTCTGAAGAGAATCACTGATGCAAATAAAAATGTTTTATTGTAATGTAAAATAAATGCGTTTTCAGGTTTGTTATTTACTGAAAGAAATAAAACTAAAAGAGCAGAATATTCTGGACACAAGTGAACAAAATGTTTTTCTACAACAAAGTTTGCGTCATCAGCTGCAAATGTTGCAGCAAGAAGCTATCAGAAACGGGGAGCTAGAAGATGATCAAATTAAACTGGAAAAACAGGTACAATACGTTGAGAAGTGTCTACTTAAAGACAGATAATTAAATGCTTATATATATGTTTTTGTAATAGCTTTAAAATGAATGTTTCCTTAGATAAATGAGTTTAGTGATTTATTTTGTCATAAGCCTGGTTCTGTGCTATCAGAACCTTTAGCTAGCATTAGAGCAACTAAGTACTTGGAAAACCAAATCCTAGACTGCACTTAAGGATAGGTATACTGAAATGCAGAAAGTTGAATCTTTTTATATTTACTAGAAAATATTTTTCTTTTAAATATGACTGCAAAGTTCTGGTCTTAAATTACATACAATTTAAGACTATAAAGTATTCCATTGTGTTAAAACTCTTGCTATGCAAGTGGCAAGACAAGGATGGACAGTTCTCTTGGTACGTAATTTAAAAGTACCAACGTTTTTTAAATACCATTCTCAATAGGTATCCAATCTGGAACAAGAGCTTCAGAAGCAGAAAGCATGTGCAGAGGATGATTTGAGAAAGGCAGAAGAGAAACTTTGCATAGCTTCTCAGGAAGCAGATTTAAACAGACAAAAGGTGGATGAACTTAACAGTACAGTCAGGTAGGAATTTGGAATAACTGGGAGGGGTATTCTGCAAATAGACTTATTGTTCAGAAAGACTGTCTGAAATGGTATCCAGCTGTGTGGTCGTACAGCTCAGTCTCTGTATGAGCATAGACTGGAAATCAGAAGGGAGGTTTCTAACTAGCAGAGGCCTGAGTTTATGGAAGTCTTCCACTGGAATTTAATGGCTGTTCCGGCAACCTATTTAGCGTTAAGATGGCATTTCATAATTTAATTTAATTCATAAGTATATCAGGTTGCTTGTAAACCTAGATAGTAAATTGTAGGAGAGCTTGGTCGTCTTGAAGAACATGATTTTTATTGCAAGAAGAGCCTACTTAAGATGACTTTTTAATTCCTATTTTATTTACAAATGCTTGTCTTCTTAGATCATGTAAGGACATGCATATGTTGCTTTTGTTATTTCAAGGTTCATTTTGTACTAGTTGTTTCTTCTATTTAGACAAATGAAATTAGAGATGGATCAGTGCAAGAATGAACTTACTAATATGGAAAAAGAAGTAGTGCAATTAAAACAAGATGGTGAAAACAAAGCAATGTAGATAAATTAGTTAGACAGTACTTTGGAAGAAGCACGATCAGAGCTCAATGAAAAGGCTATTTGCTCTCTTAGATTGTTTGTGACTGTAAGACAACTTGATACAGTAGCTCCTCAGCTCACTTTTAATTTTTAAAAGTGCTATTATTTTTTGGTGATTCTGTTTGAGAGTCTACTAAAATGATTTTCTGAATCTCAAATCCGTGAGATAATTGTTAACAGGAATGAATTTCTTTTGTACTGAAATTGTCCAGCTTTCTTTCTTGACCATAAATTAACAATATTTTCTTCTGTACTATTCTTTTCTAAGAACATTTTGTCCTGATAACCAATTAAATAACTTGAATAGTTGAAGTTATTAGGAAATCTCTACCTGGAATATGGTTAACAGAATTATTCCATTTGTGTTTGTTTCTTTGCAATCAATTAGTTGATTGACGTTTTATAGTAATTTGGCATAAGTAACACATCTTGTAATTTTCAAGCTGAATACTTAAAGCTAAGCAATTTAATGTGCATTAAGCAATTAAACATATGAGAATTTCAGGTATTGCAAAGGAGAAATTGAAGACAAAAACCAAGAACTCCTTGACATGGCCCAAGCATTGAAAGAAAGGAATTGGGAACTGAAACAAAGAGCAGCTCAGGTCAGGTCATTTTAAGTATGTTACTGACAATTATTCCTGTTATGTGGTAGATAACTTAGAAGAAGTTTGCTAGGTTTAATTGCCTTAACACACATTGTTCCAAACTGTACTGTTAACACATCCACAGTGTAAGTCTTGATGTTTGATGAAGCAAAGGAAACGTCTGCACTGAAGTTTGCTTGGAAATGATAGATTCCCCTCCTCGTTTTCACTGGAGTATATTTGAGTAGCTCTGAAGCAGTCTCTAAATATGAAACATTATCTCTGCTGTGCATAAATTTCAGTCTTTTGGTCTGGCTTCGGGATTTGATACCCATCATGGAAAAGCCATTCTTCTGTCATTTATAATCAGTCTTCTAATAGCTCCTTCCTGCAGGAGTCACTAGCCTTTGTATCCAAGAGTATTTGAGGTGCAGAGAGAAGGAGAGGAGAAGATTTAAAAAAAAAAAATATTTAAAAAATCTGTCCAAGGAACTAACACTTTAAGGAGGCTGAACCTTGCAATATATTGTTGCCACAGTACTCTGTGAGCCGCTCCAGGAATTCATCAAAGCAGTAGGATTTTATTTTTTTTTTGCTTTGGCAAATTTGTCACTTTCTAACAAGATGTATTAGTACACTAAGCTACTCATTACATTCTGTTTAAAATGAGAACTAGGCTTGTATTCTGTGTATCTGAGGACCAAACATACTCAGTTAAGTACTTTTTCCTAAATTTTCTTTTTTCTCTATGTTTGGCCCCTATATTTGAAACTGGATAGCTAGGGTGCAATTTTAGGTTGACTGCTTGAGAGAATATTCCTGAGACCACAAAGGATCAGTTTCATTCATTTTGCTGATTGCCTCTTAAAATCTGCATACTAGTTAAAAATAAAACATTTCTTTTTCTTCCTTTTTTACCTCTAGATTACACATTTGGATATGACAGTTCGTGAACACAAGGGAGAAATGGAACAACAAATAATTAGATTGGAGTGCAGTTTAGAAAAATCAGAGTTAGAAATTAAGGAATGCAATAAACAGGTAATTCTTGCTTAAAATAAAAAAAAAAAACCCAACAGTTTCCCTAACAAAGGGCAGCAGGAAGTCAAGTCTTAGGACACCGTAGCTGGCCAAGTATAATCTAGAAGAGTAAAACTGGTTCTTTATTGTAGGGAGAGGGGAGGGAGTACCAGCAAAAATATTTTATATTTGTTGATTAAAAGTAAAAATTTTGCAGGGTAATACCATTAGAAAAATTAAAATGTATTATTTTTACTTGATAGTATATAGCTCCCAAATAGCTCTCTTAATAAAGGAAAAAACTGACAAAAATGGAATAAAAAATTGACAAAGGAATCAAGAGTCAGAAGTAATATTGTGACAGTATTAGTGAGTTTTGTTTGGGTTGTTTAGGTTTTTCTTTAATTGTCCTGATTTCAGTAAAATATCTGTTATGATGTAATTGCATTTTCTGTTAGATTGAAAGCTTAGAGAGGAAACTCCAGCATTCTAAAGCTGAGCTTCGTGAGAAAGAGTTTGAATTGCTCCAGAGAGATCAAGAAATAAGCCAGCTGAAGAAAAAAATTGAAAGAAAACAACAGAGCCTAGAAGCTCTTGAAAAGGTAAAATATTCCTTGGATGCACAACAAATTATTAATTTTTAATGCCATTAACACAACTGCCTAGAGGAGAATATGTTATCTCTCTAGAATAAGAGTCATTACTTCTCCCCAGGTAATTGTATTGTATGTCCTGGTGTCTGCTGAATCTTAATGCCCTGAAGTTACACCAGTTTAATGTTTTAAAATTACAAATCAGAGGTAAACAGGCTTTCTGCAGAAATAAGTTCATTAGAAGATGCTTGTCAGCTGGAGGTAAACACCAAAACTGAAATGGCTTGTGCTGTTTTGATTCTGCTGCATTTCTTTCTCTATGACAAGGAACTGGAGGAGTCTTCTCTCTGTGTTCTCGCCGAAGGCATTTGATCCCTGCTCTAGATCACAGGGACTTGGCTGTGTCACAGCTGAATATGAAGGTTCTTTCGCTGCAAATTCAAGCCATGTCAGCTCTTCCATCTTGATTTCTGTTACAGGTTATTTATGACAGTCAAGAACAGGACAGTGCCTGCTGCTACCCTTCACACGTATCATTAACATACTTCCAACTTTTCCTAAGACTCTGGGGATGATTCTGAAGGAAAGGATTTCCTAGCTAGCCCTTGTACAACTGTTGACTAGACTCATCCTTTCCAGACAAATTGTCTTTTTATTTTTGCCAAG